TCTCGACTGAAACCGTAACTAAGGCGTTTGTTGGGCGTTGGGTAGCAAATTTTGGGTGTCCTACTACGTTAACTACAGACCGCGGCCCTCAATTTGAGTCCGCGTTATTCTGCTCGTTAACAGACATCTCAGGGTGTCAACGTATACGCACCACAGCATACCAAGCCGGCGGCTAACGGCCTTGTTGAGCTTTTCATCGTCAGCTTAAAGCTGCACTCATTGCAAAGTCCATCATTTCATGCATGGAGGCACGCCCTCTCGTCCAACTTGGCATCAGAAATGCCACCAAAATCTAATCGAAATTAGTGCTTAGGTCATAATACTGGAAAATAATGTTATCAAAATATGTCTTGCTCTACAGATCCAAAGTGGAGGTGGATACGTGTATTGGTAGAACATCAGTTGAGAAAGTGAACACTGCTACCTGAATAGCATGTACCACGGATATGAGCCAATTTGGTCGGATGAAAACACAATCAGATGGACACAANGTAAGGAACGATGGGTCACGATACTTATAGAAGTATGTACCAAAGTAGACTGTGATACCCAGATCCAGCTTCGAAGCTGGCATTATAAATGCCATCAAAGACGATCTCAAGTGCACGCCGGTCGAATTTGTATATGGGACTACACTCCGTCTCCACAGAGATAATACTTCCCCACACAAAGCTTCACTTCAAGCATCGCCGGATTACGTCCAACGGCTTATTCATCACACGCGTGAGTTAACCCCAGCCGTCACGCGCCCACATCAAAAAGCAGTTTTCATACATCCAGACTTGCACACACGTTTGGGTCCGTTGCGACGCAATACGCAGACCCCTACAGGATCCATATAATGTCCCTTATTGCGTACCCCGACGTAGTGAAAACCAGATAGTCATCGATAGGAACGGTCAGCACGATACTATTTCCATCGACCGCACGAAGCCAGCTTACGTCGACGAAACATCCGTCAAGGCAACCCCTTCGAACCCCAGGGCCACGGACACCACCACACCGTTAGCCTCCACCCCATTGTCGACAATTCCTTCCACCCCGGCCATATTACCCTCCTCTTCAGGAACGCCTCTACTGCGTTCTGCTTTAGCTGGTTCAAACGCCAGAACCACTCTTAACGGACGTGTGGTCCGTATTCCAACTCGTTTTGTGGAGTAATTTTATTACTAACGTATTCCTTTTACACAAAAAACAACAAAGGACGAAAAAGTGTTAGTTTATCGTTTACGCATATACCTTTTTATATATGCTAAAAAATACAAATTTTATTTGGCCTGTCGTAAGCTTACCTGTCTATTGGTCCATTTGTTTTACGTTACTGGTACCGTACTCAGTTTCTTTGCTTTCACTTACTCTGTAGAGCTGAGGAACGTTTTTGTACTCATCATGAACAGCACAAGGATTGCAAGGAAATTTTTTATTCCTATTTGTTGATTGACAATCGTTCGCAGCTTTGTACATCTTGCACCCTGCAATCAACAGGGCGTATTTTGTTCTGTTACCAATAGTCTAAGTGGCTTTTGGCGAGGTTGAATGTTTTGGTTAGCGCTCGGACTAGTAATTCGTACACGTATCGGATTCTGCGCAGCAATAGTCCGACCCAGAACTAGGACTCGAAATGAAATCAGAGGACAGATTTCAGCGACGGAACGGAACCTTAATGTGCGGAAATTCGGAATGTACAAGGATATCCTGTTCAGTAAAACAAAAGAGTTCGCAGCTCATAAGCCATGTCCACCGCAGCTTGAATAAAGCTCCGGTTTTCTCTAATCACGGTGGACATTGTTTAGTAATCGTTCAGATCTTCTAGGTTCCGTTGTACTGTTCTCGACGTTTGCACTGGGATGTAATTCTACTGGAAAATACCCACATATAAAAGGATTAATAGGTTCCCCAGTAGTATCAGGATTGAGCAAATTACAAGTTACTTGATCTACATTTCTGCGATGTACAGTCTCATCGTCTAGATCCAATATGCGACATAGTTCTTGTCCCATATTGTCTAGTACAATGTCCCTGGAGGGTCGTAAAACGTTACCAAGATGATATACAACTTCCGCAGACTCCAAGCGTAGAAGGTCTGTTTGAAGTACTCGACTCCTAAACACCTTTCCTAGACTGCGTTCCGTAGTTGAATGTCCTGCGTTACGGTATTGCATCAGAAAGTTATCGACGCCCATGCCCAGTTCATCGAATGTAATGAGATTCAAAGAAGCAATGGCACTGTTCAGCGTGCGCAAAACGTTTTCGGTTGCGCCATTGGATTGCGGATGTCGCGGTGGAGTGAGATTATGCCGACAACTCACGGAGTTTGACCAATCATTAACTTTCTTGGCAATGAAATGACTTCCACTGTCAGTCACGATAGCATGAGGGACATCTCTAGTGAACGTTCTCCTGAGTGCTCGAATAGTAAATTCTGAACCATGATTTGTGGTGAAGTACACTTCTGGACAACGGGAATAGGAATCGACGATTACCAATGCGTAATACTTGTTGAAGAATGGACCACGGTAATCCACATTTATTCTTCGCCATGACTCGGAGGATACTGGCCACGAAGTCCTATTTGAAGGCTGTCTTTGAGTTTTGTGCACACAATCAGCACAGGATTTTGCAACACGATTCACATCATATCGGACGACCGAGACAACTTCTCTCGCTTCACGTGACCTTTTTTCATATTTCGTCAGTCTTCCCGCTCGATAAAGTGCAAAAATGGGACGTCGCATAGTGTCAACAAGTGCCGCACCAAGTGTTTCGACGGCATCGGAAGTATACGGCCAACGGAGTTGTAAGAAAAAATTTAAAAAGGGGATATTTTGCACACACTGCCTAAAACACTTTCACCTTTCATGTGTCAAACTCTTGGTAAAACAGGCAAAACAGTTAGCCACTCAGCCAGAAAGTATATGGTTCTGTACAGAATGTGCGGAAATCCCGATTGTAAAATCATCACTTGTATCACAGACAAGTAATAGAAGCTATTGTCAGGGGCCAAAGAAAAAGCGAACTCAAAAATCGCCACAATTGAGGCGAAAATAGCAGAATTAAGTTCACGGGTCACACCAGCCAGCCCGATCCGGAAAACCAGCAAATGACCCAAATGCCCGATACAAGTGGTCACCCCACGGCAGGGGACGCACCCGGCTAAACTGAGCTCAACGACTAAAGCAACAGTAGAAGCACCTGCTACCTCGGAACCCACACACACCCAGTAGCCTCCCTTATCTGCTTCTTCAAAGATAACAGCTCTGTCTGCCAGCTCTCCACTGCCAAAAATCTGTACCCCCCATAACTCCGGCCACTGTTGTGAAAGTTGACCCCCCTTCGCATGCAGATGTTATTTCCACTCCACTTAGAAAAGCTCTTGCAGCTGCACCGCAGCAGAAGCACCTATAAAAGGCATGGGTATCGTCTGCTGCATCGCCCTCACGGACAGACTCGACTCTCTCGTCCAAGACCTCCAGTTACGGTGCGTGTAACATGTTACGGACAGCTGAGAGGTGACCCCGCGATTCGCAGGAACCTATGCGGCAGAGGAAGCATTCTCCGAGATCTCAGTGCCTTATTGTTGTCAGTCTTCCGGAGGCCGAGGCCACCACTGCTCAGGCTCGCCTGGACCACGAATTGCAGCTGTCGAGGTTGCACATAATTACGGTGTTTGATGGCGACGAGGTGGAACCAGCGGCATCGATCAGAGTGAAAGCGGCATTCAGGCTTGGTAAACCCCACCAGAATAATTCTCCACGACCACTGAAAGTCGTTCTTTGAGCAGAAAACTAGGCCATAGCGATACTCCAGCGGACCCACAAGCTGAAGGGAACTCCGGTGCGATTCCTCGGGGATCTTGATCCCGACCAGCGCAGTAAATTGAAAACTGCATTAGAAGAACTCAGGGAGCGCCGTGCAAATGGGGAAACTGATCTGTTTATACGGGATTTTCGTGTTCATCGGAAGCGCCCTCAGTTGCGTTGGCTGCCCTTAGTCGGGGAGAGGACCCAGGAGACTGTTTAACCACGGACGTGGGGATTAGCTTGAGGCGCGAATGGCGAGGTAACCATGCTGTGCTAGCCTCAACCAATACCCGAGGGATGCAGGGAAAAAGGGTTGAGCTGGAGGACTGGGTTGTATCCAACAAACCCGATCTATTTGCAATCACTGAGACCTGGCTGGGACTCCGAAATATCACTCCACGGATACACAGTGCTTCGAACGGATCGATCATCGTCACGTCGCGGTGGTGGAGTTGTTCTTTTTGTCCGCTCGGGTCTCTCTGTTCCAGTGCTGGAGAATTACGCCCATTCNGAAGGATTTGGAGAAGCCCGTAGTGCAGAACCAAGCTTTGTGCCGAAGGGTATACCATAGTTGGAGTGACTTACCGCACACCAGTTGTGTGCGTCCCAGAGCTGCTGGCCAGCATACAGAGGTACGCCTGCAATGGACATTGTCTTGTCTTGGGTGATTTCAATGCACCCCATGTTGATTGGGAAACTGACATCTGTTCTCATCTTTTACGGCTCTCTGCCCTGGATATTAGTGCATGGTGTATCTAATGGTCATTAGTCGAAACTGTTCTATTGATACAATTTGTTCTTTCTCGCGCGCAAAAAAATCGCGTTCCGTTGTTTTTTTAACCCCAATGACTCTCGACCCAAATGTTCTGCCATTTATTGTAAAAAATGATCGTGCAACCCAGCATGCCTCACGACTTCCAATGTGAAATACAAGATTTTTATTGTTGTTTGTTCTCCAGAGAACTTCCTTTCGCTGTACGGGTTCTGTAGCGGGTTCAGCATGTTCATGTACCCACGCGGATATTTGGGGATCAAAGATCCATCCTTGACGTCGTATTTTCGCCGAAGAAAGCATAAACGACTAAGATAAACCCCCAAACGGGCAGACCACATGACGGACGGAATGTGTGGCGCTCATCCTTTCCGGATATGCGTCAGGCTGCATCGCTCACAAATTGGGATTCCCGGAACCCTGAGAATTTGGATGTATCCTGGGAGTTGGTTCGTCATAGAATCCAGCAACTCGTACAGGAATTCTCTCCACCTCACCGCCACCGAACACACGCTATGGGCCCGCCGTGGTTTGACCGAGAACTGCGGGCATGCCTCCGGTAGCGGAATAAAGCCTGGCCCAGGTACCGTGCAACAGGCGCAGGATATGAGGAATATCGATGTATTCGGAATTATTGTACTGCACTAAAAAAATGCAAGAAAACCATATTCGAGGAACGACTAGCAGCGGATTCAGTACAAACACCAAAGCGATTGTATGCCTACTTCAGGCGAAGAATCACAGCAACGCCTGGTCTCCCGACTCTCGCCAAAGATGGGGCACTTGCCGAAAAAGATGAGGACAAAGCGAAGATGCTGGCATCTCATTATGCCTCAGTGTACACCCCAGCCTCCAGCACACTGGCACATCTACTGGACACTGACACTACGCTGAAATGGACTCCATTTACCATCGAAGATTTGGCCCTGGAGCTGCGTCGACTAAAGGTTCACCAGTCACCTGGACCTGATGGTGTGCATCCGATGATCCTGAAGGAGCTGGCAGATGAATTTGTAGTGCCACTGTGCAACCTTTTCAATTTGTCATTCACTCAAGGGCGTTTACTGCGGCAGTGGAAGGACACTGTCATTGTTCCACTGCCCAAAGTTGGGGATAGGAGTGACCCTGGGAACTACCGACCAGTGAGCCTTACTAGTGTTGGGTAAAGTAATGGAGCGACTGGTGGCTGCAGGGCTTCGGCAGCATTTGGTGTGCCACGGTTACCTGTGCCACCAACAACACGGTTTCCGGCCGGGTCGCTCATGCCTATCAAACCCGCTACTTGCACATGAATGCTGGACTGAGGAAAAGGCCAAAGGCCATGGAACGGACATCATTTTCGTGGACTTCAGCAAGGCCTTCGACAAGGTGCCGTACGACCTCCTTCTGCGAAAGCTGTCCAACCTAGGTGTGGGTGTGGTCATGCGGAATTGGCTGCGAGACTTCCTCATCGATCGGAAATGCTGCGTCCGTGTTGGCAAATCACTCTCTGCGTGGTATTCCGCTCCCAGTGGGGTTCCCTAAGGCTCGGTTCTTGGTCCATTGCTTTCTGTTTTATATGTGAATGACCTGCCTGGTCAACAGTGCAGTCCATCCCTCATGTATGCGGATGACATCAAAATCTGGCATACAATCAAGGATCCGAATGATCGAAGTTCTCTTCAAGCGGATTTGAACAACCTGGCTCAGTGGGGAGACACCTGGACTCTTCCAGTCAACACAACCAAGTGTGCTCACCTGCATTTGGGGCGTGCTGACTCAGAGGTAGTCTACAACTTTCAGGGAACCACATTGCGCAGAAAATCGTGCGAACGAGACCTGGGTGTTAAGGTTACGTCATCACTAAAGACCCGTAAAAAGCCGATCGGGTCTGTGCTAGCGGATGGAGCATTCCGGGGCCTATTCGGCGGTCTTTCAACCAGCTCACGATGGACGCTTTCAGGCTGCTAAACGCTTTCCATGTCAGACCAAGACTTGATTATGGTGGTGCGGCGACATATCCCTGCACGACCAATGAACTGGATAAATTGGAGCGTGTACAAAGTGCTGCCACTAGATTCGTTGTTGGACTACGCGGGACCAGCTATGAAGGTCATCTACAGGCTACCGGTTGGCAACAATTGTTGCCAACATTTTCATGGAGAACTTGGAATGCAAACTTCTCAATTCCTTCATGAATCCTCCTAGAATCTGGTGGCGATACGTAGACGACATATTTGTAGTGATAGAAAAACACACGTTGGAANGTGTACAAAGTGCTGCCACTAGACTCGTTGGACTACGCGGGACCAGCTATGAAGGTCGTCTACAGGCTACTGATATGTCCCCAATTGTGTATGGACGCCTTAGGGGAGATCTCATCTGCCTGAGGAAGATCCTGAGAGGTGACATGGGCCCGTAGCTGCAACAGTACTTCCCTTTACGGACAGTGCTCCGCACGCGGGGCACTCTCTCACGTTGCGGAAACTTCAGTCAGTTGGTCTTCCGTTAGTCTACCGACTTTCGCGTTGGCCAACAACACTCCGGAATTCCCTTCCAGCGATTGTGGTGGAAGAGAAGACAGACGCTGCTTTCAAACGGCGTCTGTATGAGCACCTGAAGGGGTTATGGAGGAACAAACACTTGGAATCGGACGTTCGACTCAGTGGTGATATGGCTTACACGGGCACTCTGCCCTCTGCCCTCAATCCTGAAGACTGAAGTGCTCCAAATTTGTTCAAAATGACCGCGACGCCAGTCGTTGTAGTAGTTCGTACACATATCTGATTCCGCGCAGTAGTAGTCCGACCCAGAACTAGGACTCAAAATGAAATCAGAAGACAGAACTCAGCGACGGACCGGATCTGTAATGAGCGGAAATTCGGAATGTACAAGGATATCGTGTTCAATAAAGCGAAAGAGTTCACAGTTTATGAGCAATCACCACATTGACGTATCTCTTTAGCTCAGTGTTGTCGTTCACCCGAGCGACACTGTTATTGGGACTTAGTGGGATTGAAGTAACTTCGATTACGACCGAGCGTGACGCGCTTCAGAACGGAACTCCCGAGCTCGCAGCACAACCAAGTTACGGCTGGTTAAACCAGAAGACGTGTAGTTGTAGACGTTCATTGAGGTACCGTAGCACGGAGAAAGTACCGGCACTGGCTAACAAACGTTTGCATTAAGGCACGAAGGCGAGCGAACAAACGGGCGCGATAGCGAGCAAAAAACGGAGCGAAAGCGAGAAAGTAAAAGTTCCTTTCGCGGAGGGATACAGCAGTTTTCAATCGTATCAAACAAACGTCACATGGCGTTGGTATTGAAGTAAAAATGTGAACGTACATTCAGATTGTAGATAAAAAATGGTGTCCGGCAAATGACTCCTATTGTCCGGCTTTTACCGTACAATCGACCACGCTACAGGATCTTTCCACCCCAAGAAACTGACTCGAGATCAAACACCTTCCACCTGCTGCACGTTGGCACAACATTCACTGCTACATACATTCGTACTCGTAATGCATTTCATCATTACTTGCTCTCGTTGAGCACTTACACATGAACTGGAAAATAACTATTCCAGGCATCGCCTGTTCACATTTCATGCAGTCATGCACTCACGCATTGGCCTTCACACTGCACCATAAACTGAACAAAACTGTTCAACATACCTACGGAGGATCCACCTCCTTTGCATCATCAGGTAACCCACGTGTAGTTTCACTCTAGATCAACGTGCGGCGAATAAGCAGGGGCCCTTGTGGTCATAGTTATAACATCTGGTTTGTGGTTTCTCCACAGACACGATCCCAAGGCGGCGTCTGCAAAAGTCGGTACCTCGGCTGTCCGGTCGAAGTTTGCTTATCACCACCCTTCTAGGGGGAGGCTGATCTGGCGGTTCTCCATCGGACACAATCAGGTGTACCTTCGAGATTTAGCATTAGTCGCCGGTATTTGGGGATTCCTTCCAGGAAAATTTTCCTAATTAGATAAAGCAGCTTAGACATTTCCGGTAATAGGTTTTGCTTTAACTATTATCGTGATTTTAATGAGGTCGAAAAGCGTGCACCGACACAATTCCCAACGGTGAACTCTGCATCGCACGCTTTCCTTGCACTGATCAGATCCACTTTCAGGTTTCTGCTACCGTTGCATTAATATCAGCCTAGGCATAGTCAAACTCACTTTTAAACTTTCGGAAGATTCACAAAATATCGTTTCTACAAACCCAATCCTTGAATCTGTTTCCTTTGTGGACAGATATCTGAAACGAACTTGGGTAAACATTAAAGACAGGTTATGACGAACATCAGCAACCATCGATTCGCTACAGAATGGTGAATTTTCCTGCTCGTTTCCTTTAACTATCAGTTTTTAC